AAGTAAGTAATGTCACACTTGCATTTTATTCAATTTCACACATTTCAATTATCAAGTATAACTCAATAAATCAATTGACACACAAAATCACAAGAAAGAATTCTCCTGATTATCTCAAACCTTTAAGGACTCAAAAGTTTACCCCTTAATTGACTACTTCCAGAGCTCTCACAAAGCTTTAATAGTGCTAAATATGCTCAATCTATAATTAATCACAATATAATTCGTTAATATCTCTTTTTGGATGATTTTTACTATTTAGATTAACACTTCTTTACTCTTAAGATTTAATCCCTTTATATACAAGGATGCCTATAATGTTTGTTAGCTTTCTCTAACTTTTACTAACTTTACTAAACTCTCAATTAGCCATTAATAGAGCCATATTATCCCAACAACCACATTTATGGTGGGATTTTTGAGTATTTATGGTTCCCAACTATCAAAAGCACATAGAGCTACTAGTACTAGGTTTAATTAGCTTAAACAACTCTTTAACTCTGCTTAAGTCAATAAGTTTGGACCTATAATTTCTATAGACCAAAAATCATCTACCTCAACTAAACCCTAACTTCCAACTTAAAGAAAATGGAAGAGAAAGAGAGATTCAAGCTTTAGCAACTTACCTCTAATGTTTTAAAGCTCTAAAACATTCTCAATGCTTCAGTTCTTCAAGCCCTAATAGAACTCTTTCATTTCTCCTTCACTTCTCCTTTGTTTCTCTTATGTTTTCAATCAGTTTTTACTTCTTTTTATTTTTCTCACTTTTTCATGCCTAAGTGACCCGACCTCACTTCAGACTCAATCCTAAGGCTAAAACCACAATCTAAAACACCCATTAGCTCTCTATAATTTCACACCACATTAATTCACATGATTAATCTCATTTATTAAACTAATTAGGGGTTAGATTTCCTGGATGTTATAGCTTCTACACGAATCCAATTAGCAAAACCTAATTTTTTAACCATAGTATCAGCATGAGCACAACTAATATGGGGTTTTAATAAATAAAGAACATTAATATTATACCTATTAACAATTTTCTTGATGAGGGTAGGAAGGTGAAACCACCCAACCCTCTACAATTCTAGTTGGAAACTATCATAGAGAAACTAAAAATATGATTAGGGTGAAACATTGACCTAAGATTAACTCCTCATGCCTTGCTCCTGGGAAAGTCTCTTCTCATCCTGGGTAACTGACATATTACATTATTTGCATACATTTTAGGATTATATTCTTACATTATTTCATTCTTGGAAGCTTAATTCTTGCATACTTATGCATTTCTAGACTTTTAGAATCAATTAAGGTTTATTCTTCACCTAAGGGTATTTTAGTCATTTTAACAATTTTTGGGCATTTTTGGGACATTAGCTTACTTTGTGTCTTTTATCTTCTTAAGATCAATGGAATAAATTTGAGATTCAAATTCATTCTATGTTGCAAAAAGTGTCAAAAGACATAAGTCATAGGATGTTTTAAGAAAAAGACATTAATACTAGGTTGTCATATTTTATAACCTAGGAACTTGAAAATGACATTATATCTTGTAATTAGCTTTGAGTTTTAATTTAAAATTTTGCACACATTCTTTAATCACTATTATGTGTATAATTATAGGTGCAAACAAGGATTTTGATAAAATATTAAATAGCCAAAAGACTAGATTACAAGACACATTGCAAAACTAAAAGACCTTAATATGACACAAGTATATATGTTGGTATAAGAAGCTTCTTAAGGCTCCAAGCAAGGAATAATTTGACTAAGAAGCCATTAAATCACCCTCTTATCATCATTTTAAAAGTGTTAGTGAGTTATGATCAAGTGTGGAAACCTTCAAGAAGAGCTACAAGATTACTCAAATTAATCTAGCTTGATTATTAGTCACATTCATGATTTAACTTCCTAACCAAGTTAGTTAAGTAATTTCATATTTCTCCTTAGCCTTGATCACCTAGAACCTACTCTATTTTACTTATTTTACATCCTTACATGCTGATTAAAAGGCTAGATGTGAATCACAAGGCTTCATTTCATTTGCTCATTCTCTTACTTCCAATTTCCATATCTACCTTCATTTCATTTTCTCTCTATTTTCTCTCATTCTCTTAACTTGCAACCACTATTCTCCTCTTCTCAATTAAGATTTAAAGCTATGGAATCTATTCAATAAGGAATCTCTATATGGATTATGAAGAGAACCATTATAAGTAGCTAGATCTTCTCAAAGCTTTTCAATGAGGTGAAGCCTATGCTTGAGTTTTTCTAACTTTTCTTTTTATTTCATTTTTCTTGTGATTCTTCTCATCTTCTTCTTTGATTCTTTCATTTGTTTTCTTAGTAATTCAATCTAGGTCTTAGTTGTCTCATCTAGGCTAAATTTTTGGCTTAAAGGAGAAGAAGATATGTACTTGATTCTTTAATTGGTTGTGCACTTAAGATGCTTATGTTTACGCTTTAAGATTTTGATGTATGAATGCACTTCATTTCAATCTCCTATTGTACATATCCATGACAATTAGTTTTTGTTTAGCTCTTAAACTCAAGTTAATTACATGATCTTGATTAGTTTAAGGTACTTAAACAAGATCAAGGCAAGAGTAGGGCTAATTCAAGAGTTAAATAATAGATTGACATAAGTCCTCAAGTTTTTTATGAATTGGTCTAATCACTTGTGCTTAGTCTTAAAGGTCATCTAGGAATCTTCAAATGTCAATTGAAGATTAAGAAATGAATTGAATCAAGTTAGGAAGATTAAGATAGTGTAGGTAGATTCATTCCTTAGAGAGCTGCTTTAAATGCTTAGTTGAACTTGAACCTTTATCATTTTCTTTTTGTCACTGTGTCAAAAATTAAAAATTATAAACACTCTAAACTCTTAATCTCACTTGAATTCTCCTCTACCATTAACTTATTATGGTCTCTGTGTTAGCGTTGATAGCCATTACTTGCTTTTATGGAATTAAAATGACTAGGGTGTACTCTCTTCTACATTCTATTTTTTCTTTGAAAAGCTTGACACGACTTAAGACTTTTCAATAACTTATACTGCAAAGCTATTATTATGAATTAGGTCCGATTTTAGTAGGCTCCACCATGTTGGGTAAGATGGTTTTAATGCCATACCATCCTGAAAAGGTACAATTACCATTAAAGCTTCACCATTAGGGTTAAAGCCAATCGTTCCAACATTAGATGTATCGTTATGCTGGCTCAAGAGTGAAACCAAAGAGTTTTGGGCCAGATTATGTTTCCTTTGGGCCAAATCAAGAGTATTGCCCTAAACCACAACATGGAATCTCTATTTTTGGTATGGATCTTGCTTAGCCCATTTTCCTTTCCTCAAAATTTCTGAGGCCCTTTCCTATTCTTTAATTGCAGCTTAGGGGGAGACCAGCCCAACGGGTTCTTGTTTTCTTTTCCTTTTGTCTTACATTTACCTCTTCTTTTAATAGGTGTCTTGTCACATAAACTATGACTATCAGTGACTTTCTCACCCGATGATGTGGGATAACCCCTATTCTCAGTAAACATCTATCTTGTCTCCCCTCTTGCTTATGCCTTATCCTCCTTTTTCATAGGAATAGAAATTTTCTCATTTGAATCCCTATAGTTGTCCATCTTAGTTGCACACTAAACCTAGATTTGAATATTTGACGTCTGCTTTAACCACCTTAAGTAGTGAGTGTAAAGGCTTGCCTCATTATCCAATAATGTGATCTATTTGCGAACATTAAAGGGCTAAAACCAACTTTGTCCTTTGGTATTGTCATCACCAATGAAGAGAGGCTAGAAGTTGTTACAGGCTTATTGCAATAGTTCAAAGAGTGTGATGTCCTAGCTTGGTGTTCTCGTGTTATTTCCTCCAAGACCAACCATGAGCATACTTCTCAATACTGGCCAAAGTGGCCACAATTAAAACAAATGAGCCTTAGACCTTCATATTCAACATGAAACACCAAGCAAGCTGCAATCACTCTCAAAACAAGTTTCTTTTGCAAATCCAATTCAACACAAATACACGCATTCCTCCCCCTCACAATGGAGACAATCTCCTTATTAATGTCCAACTAGGTGCACATATCCACCTAGATAGGTTTGCTAATACATTCATCCAAACACTATATAAAGCGGGTTATTGAAAGGATCAAAATAAGGTGACCACCTTTGGATAAGGACACAGTACTGCATTACAACCCACGGTCCTTTAAACAATACTCTTCTTCTTCTTCTTCTTCTGTTTTTGAATTAAAAAGGGTAGGCACTAATGAATTGAGGTTGCAAGTGAGATTAAACTTCCACTTACAAGGGAGTTTCCATACCACTAAGCTATAAGGTCATTAGTTGTACAACACTCTTCTATACAGTGCTTTCATCTACTCTAAGTTAGTAAAACAAACTACATAGTAGTTGTTACATAAGTCTGTCAACTCGAACTTTGGAATGCCCCAAATCTTACTTAACCATTTCTTCAAGTCGCTCATATGTAAATGCTTTCCGAACACTATTAGCACAAGGGCTTAATTCCACGATTTACTCCACTCTTGCAACTCTTCTGTTATCAGAACGACTCAGTAGAGTTTCATTAATTCTTTCATCTCCTCTGTAGGTTCTACAAGCTTCCATGGGATGTCATCTCCTTGCATCAGGTCATCAACCTCCATCACCACATCGCCATTGGTAACTTCATTAAAGCCCATCAACGAAGCTTTATATGATAAAGGTCGCACCTTTTGTTCGCCAACTGTCCGTTCATCAGTTTCCATATCCTGATTCTTCGTTGACTCAGTAAAATCATTTGACGTATGAGGCTTCCCCTTCTTGGACTCATCTGCAACTGTTGGGATTTCATTGCTTTCCAAGAGCATTGGATCAAAGAATAAGCCTTCACCTTCTTCAACTTGCTTGCATCCCCTCCGAAGTAAGGTTCCACGAATGAGTTCTGATTGGCCCAGAAATTGAGAAAGAGAAAATCCTATCTAACCACTCCCGGTAATCTATTCTATTTACTCGATTTGTGTGTCTTACACAAGGATTATGCTAATCTTCTCCGTGTCATGTCAATTGTATTGGCTGTCCACGAACGGACATTAATTAATCTATTGTATTTTGCGTCAAAAATGGAACTTTATATCTACAGTGCCATCTTGACTTTTTTCCAATTTTTTTTAAAAGTCAATATAATTAGGAGAGTTAAAAGTTGCAAGGCCCACAATAAAGAAAAATGGTTGAAATGTCTCAATGAATAAAGGAAAAATAATAATTAAAAATTTTAGAAGAATATTAATTATAATTATTGATGTTGAATTATTAAAACATCAATAATAAATTATGATCCTTGCATGTAATAAAGTATTTTTTTATTGTTTAGTTTGAAATTTATAATTAATTTTTATAAATTTTCAACTAATGCGACAAAGATTTTCAATTTTTTTTGTTGATTTTCGAGCAATTTATCTATATACTAATAAAAAAACAAGTCATTAACTTGTGATTCACAATCAACTCTCATAAATTTTCAATTGAGATTAAAATTAATCATAAGTATATTTTATAGATTTTTTAAATAATTTATCTATATATTGATAGTAAAAATCATAAATAAGTGACTTGTAATTCATAACTGACTCTCATAAATCTATAACTAACTTAGAGTTTTAAATAATTTCAAGTGTATTTTATTAATTTTTCAAATGGTTTAACTATATATTAACGGTAAAAAATCCCAAGTGTATTTTATTGAGTTTTCAATTGACTATTCGCATTTTTTAATTGCAAATAAGAATCATAGCATATATTAGAATTTTCATAATTTTGGATCTGTAACTATAATTAATGTTCTTAAAAGGCCCCTAATTGTCATTTTTCCATGAAAAATAACATATAAAAAATTTAATATGTGTATATATGATAATAAATTTTAAGATAAATTAATTATATTTTTTATTCCTTTACTTGATATTCTGAGAAATTTGAGATATTACTATCTCCCACCTAGACTAACTTGAATTCTACATATTAACAGTAAAAAAATTAGAAGTGATGAGCTTACAATTTACAATTAACACTCGTAAATTTTTAACTAACATTACAATAATTTTAAGTATATTTTATTAATTTTTCAGATGGTTTATCTATGTATTAACAACAAAAAATCAAAATTCACAATAGACTTGTAAAATCTTAACTGACATTAAAAATAATCTCAAATGTATTTTATTAATTTTTCAATTGACTATTTTCATTTTTTTATTTCAAATAAGGGCAATGGTCTATTGTTGTGATTTCACTAATTTAGGGTCTACAATTGTAATTAATAATATTTTGGGCCCCTAATTGTCATTTTCCCATGAAAAGTAACATATAAAAAAATTTAATATATATATATATATATGATAATAAATTATAAAATAAATAAACATTATTTTTTTCCATCACATGATATTCTAAGAAATTGAGGATAATATTATTATTTCTCGCTCAGACTAATTCAAATTCTCATTGTATAGGACTATTATTATCAATGATAACCTCACAAACACCTCAAGATATCTTTGATATATTTATTTAACTTGACTATTATTGCTCACTGTAAGTGTACGAGTCGTAGTAAGTAATATAATGAAAGTAAATTATTGTTTTCTCAAGAATTGAATTTGTTTAAAGACAATGATCAAAGAAAAGATTAAGTGAATTTAACCAAGTTGAACCAAAACATAATTAGATGAAGATTATGTTGCAAAATAATTTAACACTAAAAAAAATAAAGAAAAGCAATTGATTCATAAATTTTACGAAAAAATTGAGATATAAGATTATTTATTCCCCTTGCATTTCATAACACTAAAATTACCTCTTTTCCTAAATGCTCTTAATGAAAATAAGTATTAACTTAAGGTTCTAAAAATACTTGCACAAGCTCTCTCAAGTCAAGAATAAGTGTTTAGTTAAATTAATTGCCAAATCTCTTGTTACAGTTAATAAAACTCAATTTTAAGTACCAACCCTAAGGTGACTATACAAAGTTAGCAAGTATATATCTATTTTACTCGCAAAACTATCGTTTCAACATGAAAATATCAATTTCTTACATTATTTTATCCAAGTTTTACATTTAACCTAACCTCTCAAGTATAAATTAAATAAACCTAACATCTAAATAGTAGCCAATCATTTAAAAATATTAAGAAAAGAGTAAATAAACACAAACACACACATATCATTACTCAAAAGAAGAGAGGAGAAACTTAATGTTAACCCATGCAAGGGTTTAAAATAATCCTAGAGCAAAGAGTTTGGTTACTCATAAACATCAAAAAGCTACAAATACATAAGATATTCACAGCCATGACAAAATTACAAGAAGAAAAATGAAGAAGAAACAAAGAAACTAAAGAAATAGAGTTTCAAATGTCTTTAAAGTTTTAAATCTTGGATCCAACTCATCCAAAACTCAAACCCTATTACAACAAAGCTCTCAAAGTGTCTTTAAATTTGTAGAATGTATTTTGGGTTGAGCTCACAGCATATATGCATCCTACCCAAACATTTTCAAATAAATAAAACAAAACGTTTTGCTAACGATGGTAAAAGTTATGAACAAAAGTCGCGACTCTCTAACGACTTTGACAGTTCTAAACTATTTGTACAATTAACAAAACTTATATTTTTTGTACCTGATTTCTTCATCCAAAAGCCTTTCAAAAGTATCAACAAAAGGTCCAAAAATACATCTAATCAAACTTTAAACTAAAATAACACAAACTTAGCCCAAAAATGTTGAATTAAAAATAAATGTATAAACCCAAAGCAATATACACATTTTTTTAATTAGGCAATCAAAATATAGACAATTGAGCCAAAATATATTAAAATTTAAAAAAAAATGTGCTCAAATGACATGAAATTTTAAATGTTAACAACTGCATGCCTCAAGACTCAAACTTGAAACCCCAAGTAAATAAATTGTTGCTTATATATATATATATATATTTTGTTGAAAAATTTTAAATATTCTTGTTTTTGTAAAATTATAACTAAAATGCCAACACACGTGTTATTATAAAATATTATTTATTTTTATAAGATTACAAAACCCATATTTATTTTAATAAATTTAAAATTAATATTTGCACAATATTTAAATTTTATTAATTTTTATGGTTTTTTAATTTCAAGAGGAATGAATTGGAGATTTTAATGAGTTCAATTTAACCAAGAAGTAAGTATGATTTTTTTAATCAATTTTTCTTGCTCCTTCCTTTTACTCTCAAATCTCAATCGTCCATAATAATAGTCATTGAGAAGTATTGATTGGTCCAAATATAGCACACATTTGATAGTTTTATAATTTTTTCCAACTACTCACTTTGATCCTTATAAATTCTTTATAAATCATTTTCTGACATGTTTTCTTTAAATCAAGAAAAAATTAATTTTAAAATTCATTAAAATTTATTTAAAAATTTAATTTCAATTTTGTTCTTATTAAATATATATATATATATATTAATAATATAATTTCTTTTACCATCATTTAATGGATAGTAGAATGAAAAACTTGGGATAAAAAGTTAATTATGTGACTTACAAATAACAATAAAAAATTTCTCTCTCTTGCCTTGCAAAAAGGACCCAGAATGAGTGTATCTTACTTCATTTATTATTTCAAAATAATTCTTTCAAATTTTAGTTGTTATTATTAAGACAGAGACTTAATGAGAGTATAATTTGAAAAATATATAATTTTTAAAAAGATCAAAGTTTTAACTATTTTTTAGTACAATAAAGTCGTTACCATAGTCGAGGAGCATGTTTGGTTGTTAGAAAAAAAAAAGAATTGATTAAAAAATAAAGATAAAAAAAATTAAATGATCAAATTGTGGATAAGAGAAAGGTCAACATATTCATGAGGAGAAATAATAATTCAGTTTGTGAAGTTGGGAGTTATAAACTTATAATTAATGATATTTGTGAAAAGTATGGTTATTCTCACATTTTTAATATGTACAGCATTGGTTTTATTATGTTTACCATGAAGAGAAAGGTGTTTTAGTTAATTTTTTTAAATTTTATAACCTTACTTATCCATTTTTCTTTTAATCTAAACCTTTCATTTCTTCCTCCCCTTCCAGTTCCTTTGAATGAACTAAAGAGAAAATATTCATCCCCCACCTTTACTTCAAGAGATGGTGGATGATGAGAGTATTTTTTGAGGATAACTTATCTTGATATAATCTCTTTTGATGTTGAATAAATTTCTTTTAATAAAAAAAATAAATAAACAAAGAGAGACGATGTTGGCCAGTGTATTGTACCGGAAATGCATTTAGCACCGCACGCTCACAACCCTATGAGGCGATCTGAGCCCTTTATTTCCTTTCAAATGATCCCTGCTATTTAAATATGGATTTTTTATGTTATTAAAAAATAAATATTACAGTACTCATCACTCCTGATAAAATCTAGAGATAATACAAATTTAAGTTTTTTACTTTTATTTTATATTTATTAAAATAAAAAATATGTAAAAAATATAGAAGTCTTTAATGATCAAGACAAATTTAATTTAAATGATTCAATTTAATATTATTTTTTAATAATTTTGACAAATTGATTATCTAAATGTATTTTGAACAATACAAATATAATTTGAAATGTTCAATTTAATATTAAAACTTTTATGATTTTAATTAATTGACTATCTATATCTACTCTGAACATTTCATATTTAATATTATAATATTTTATAAATTTTACTTTGGTAAATTTAATATAAAAAAATTTTAAAAATAATTTTGAATTAACGGTAGATATCATTGGAAAAAAACAAAAGAATAACTCATATCACCTCATGGGGGTTGCTGACCATCGAAGATGGTCCTGCGTTGTACCTGGCCGATGGATAACAATCTAGCTAGTACAAATGTTTTTGTGTTTGTTTTTTCTCGCAAAAACACAGTACTGACTTTTGAAATAGACGCCGTCGCCTTTGTATCAAAAGATCCAAATCTCTAAGAGACGTGAGAAAGCTTCCAATTAAATTGCCTTAAACATGCCTTAGATTATCTTGAACTATTCAAAGTTTTTGAATTAAGTTATTTCTTTTTTTTTATAAATTAAACTATTTCTTTCAAGGGTGGTTGCTAGAAAGCTCAAGTATGATTGTGTCCAATTAAATTCTCTCCATCCACCAAAAGAATTATTAAATTCTATACTCCCCAGCCTTAGTTAGGCTGCCTACGTTTTTTTTTTTAAAAAAAACAAGAATTATTAAATTCTCTCATGCATAATACTGAAATCTAACTCAATTGTTGGTTAAATCAATGTTTTTTGACTAGTTCAATGAAATATTTTATTTATGATCGATTTAATCACAATTCAACTACTTCTTTTGATCATTAATCATCAAATCAGCATCTTAATTAGTTCAGTTTCAGTACCTCATGCTTGAGTGCAATGGTACCATGAATTAAAAATGGGAAAATTATATATAAAACCCATAGAGCAAAGTTATTGATAAAGAAGTCTCATTAAATTCAAAAACCACAATTAGATTTCTTGAGATTTGAGAGTAATCTGAAATCGGGTTAAAAAGATAATGATGCCCCTGTTAAACATACACACATTACATCAGTCAAATAATTTACAACTATTTTATCAGTAATTTATAACTGTAACTTCAATTTTTTATAATTATAACTTCATATATCCAATAATTAAATTAATCAGTTTCACTATTGAATATATGAAGTTACAGTTATAAAAAGTTAAAATAATTGTAAACAATTAATGTTAAACTTTGTTAATAATGCATGATTGTTTAATTATTGAATATGTGAAGTTATGGTTGTAAAAATTTAAAATTATAATTATAAATTGTCGATGAAGTAACTGTAAATTAATTACTTGATTGACATAATGTATATTTAATAAGGGTATTATTGTGTTTGTAACCTAATTTCAAATTACACTCAGGTCCTAAGGGACTTAATTGTAACTTTTAAATTTTATGAGACTTATTTGTGAATAAGTTTACTCTATAGAACCTACATGTAATTTTGCCATTAAAAATTGACTCTTCTAATTAATGTTTAAGTTGCCATTATTAAGAATTTCTCCAAAGCATGAATACACAACTCTTTATTGAGTTTGATATATGACCATATCATTATTATTAAGAAACCATTTAACATTGTTTTAAATCTAATGCACAGTAGACACACCTACAAAATAACTGACATACATACATACATAACATTAATAATACTAAAAAATGACTAGAAGTAGAGTTTCATAATATATAACACGATACATCACGCCTTACATTGATTACAATAACAAGGCTGCAAATCATTATTCATCTAGGAACTAACTTAGGACGAAAAGTAAACAATATAATTATATTATTGTCGGAAATAAGGTTCATCAATTAATTAATAACAACACGTTGAGATGGAAGAGCTAGCAAAGGGCTGTCTCTTGGCATTGTGAGACCGAACTTTTCAGTCATATCCATGTCACTGGGTGACATGCCAGGTGGAAGCTCCCAATTGAAGCAATGCACCAATTGTGCCAAAATAAACTTAACCGCTGTCAGACCCAATTGCATGCCTGGGCACACTCTTCGACCAGAACCAAAAGGTATGAGTTGGAAGTCATGTCCTTTAAGGTCTACATCACTATTGTTGAATCTTTCAGGATAAAACACTTGAGCATTTTCTGACCATATTTCCGGATCTCGTCCTATAGCCCATACATTCACCATCACTCGTGTATTCTTCCTTATGTAATATCCATCAAGTGTGATGTCCTCCATGCTCACACGAGGGACCAGTAAAGGCAGAACAGGATATAGTCTCATAGTCTCCTTAATCACCATGTCCAAGTAACTCAACCTCGGTAAATCAGAATGTTCTACTAGTTTGCTTGTTCCTACTATGTTTTCTAGTTCATGCTGGAGCTTTTTCATCACCCTTGGATTTCTCAGGAGTTCTGAAAAAGCCCATAAAGTGACAGCAACAGAAGTTTCGAATGCGCCAATAATCATGTCCAAGAGGATGGCTTTGACGTTGGTTTGATCAATGACGTGATGACTTTGTTCGTCAGGCAAATCCTTGGAAGATAGCAATAAGTCCACGAAGTCTCTTTCTTCATTTTTCTGCTCATCAGTTTTCTCCTCGTGCTCCTTAATGATCGTTTCCAACATCTCATCAAGTTCCTTGCTATTCTTCTTTAATTGCCTGGTCAAACCCTGGATCAATGGGTTGTATAATGCAATTAAAATAAATTAATAACATATATAATTCAGCTATAATTTTTTTTAAAAAAAGAAAAGTGACTAATTAATCAGGCTATGATACTGCAGGTCAAGTTTGCACTATTTACACAGCCTTTTGAGCAAATATTAAGTGAACCATTTGCTACCAAAAAAAATGGAAAAATTAAAGTTACAACATGAAAAAATTTGGATGCATACTCTACATGCATGCACGCACACTACCCTAAAGGAAAGTAGTTCAACCTTGAAGCGGCAAATGCCCAAGCTGAAAAAACAAAGAAAATACAATATAAGCCAAATTGAATGCAGTAAAAGAGGCTAATCCCTCCCAGTGTAATAAACCAAGATTCAAATCTCCATTGAAAAATATGCTTAAATTTAGTATTGAAGTGTACTTAAAATTTGATTATATTACCTCCCATAAAAAATTATTAAGAAGTCCAGCACAAAAATTTCAATTACCTTAAAATCTCATAAAATGTACAAATTGCTATTAAGTCCCAAATCCTATGTAATTATAATTTGATAAAATAAAATGACAACTTGATATTAAACTCATACTCAAATTGTCATTTTCTTTTGCCAAGCTGTTATTTTCTTTTGTCAAATTGTAATTGTATAGAATTTGATATTTAAAAGTATTTTGTATATTTTATAGGATCTATGAGTAATTAAAATCCGTACAATGGATTTCAGAGTAATTTTTTCTAAGAGATCTATCACGAGTCTTACATTGAGGAGCCTCACAAGTGTTACGAGATTTATAAGTTCAAGGGATTATTTCTCCTAATAGGCTAGTCTTTTAAAATAGGCTCTTCCTTTGAACTTATGCACGTTATATTGGTACTTTTATTGAAAGGCCGGTGTCACAAAAAGAGTTACCCAAGGAGGGTTCTAATCGGTAGGCGGCCGAGTGAAGTGCCGTGGAGTAGAGCTATCGCGGACGCTAGCTCTTAAGTAGTGGGCTATGTCATGAGTCTCACATCGGGAGGCTACATTGGTAGAATGTGGTTTATAAGTCAGCCAGACACCCTTTCCTTACGAGGTGCTTTTTAAAGGTGAGTTCTACCCAAATGGCTTATGGTTGTGACATTGGTGCTCTCGATGAGAGTCGCCATTTGCGGAAAGGGCTATCCATGGAGGGGCTGACTTGCCAAAGGTCGAGTGAAGCGTCGTGAAGTGTGAGTTATCGCGGACACCGGCTCTTAAGCAGTGGGCTATGTCATAAGTCCCACATCGGGAAGCTACATTGATGGAATGTAGTTTATAAATCAATTGGGCACTCTCCTCTTACGAGACATTTTTTGAAGATGAGTTCTATCCAAATGATTTGTGGTTGTGACAAGATTATACCCGCAAGTCATGCAAAATTAGAAATAGATTACTTGATAATGATACCTGAACATCAAAGGACGACAACAAGGGTACATACTCTGCAGGATTAAAGACTCCAGCTAGGCGCACGGCTTCGTGAACAAGCTTTTTCGCATCAAATCTGTAGGTCCCCTTCTTCCCCAGTATCATCCTATACATTGTGTTCTCCACCACCTCCTCCACCTTCTCCCTCAGATCCACCGCCTCACTCGCCGCTGCCAATTTATCTATTGACTTCACCATCTCTCCCACCTCCTCCCTTCTTATTGCACCAGACTTCTCCACATTCGACGCCGTAAGCAGCTGCCAAACACACAGTTTTCTCATGCTGCGCCAGTAGGGACCATACTCTGATAAAATTAAGCCCTTGGACCCGTAATACTGGCACTCGGAAGCTTGAGTTTTTGGCCTGCTTGCGAAAACGGCGTCGTTAGTCTTGAGCACCAGCTCCGCAGCTTCGGGGGAAGATACGATAACAGCAGGGACTTGTCCTAGTCGGAAGGACATGATGGGACCATAGCGTTTGGCCAGAGAGTGAAGGGATCGGTGAGGGAGGTTACCCAGCAGGTGGAGGTTGCCGATCACCGGCCAGGCCGGTGGACCTGGCGGTTGTTTCCGGTTACGTCTAGTTGGGTTGAGGTGAGATAGTAGCAGAAGTGATACAGTGAGAAAGAGAAATGCGGCTAGAAGGAGAAGGAGGAGGAAAGGCAACATTGGAGGAAACGATGTTTTGATGAGTGTTTGTTTTAAGTCCACAGGAATTGGTGGATAAGCTTATGAGGTGAGGTTGCATATATTGGATTTGGATTGGTTACTGTACTTAGTATAATTTGTTAAAAATATAAAATCCAAATTGCCGAATTGTAACTTAGGATGACTTAAATTGATAAAAAAAAAGGGTAGTACCATTTTGATACTATTTCCTTTGTTATAAATTATAAAATCATTTTAAAAAAATTATTTTAAAATATAAGATAATTTTTAAAAAATAAAATTTTATCAATAATTTTTTTTAATATTATACTTCAGGTAAATAAAAAATTAAAATAATATTTAGCATAATAATTAAGTGTGTTGGGGTATTTTTAAAAATTTATAATTTATTATAAAAATAAATTTATAAAATATTATTATTGTATTTTATTGATACATGTAATTTTATTTTAAATTATTTTATAATTTATGGTTGAGAGCACTTGATATTTGCTAAAACATGTGCAGTGCTTGTGGAACTCGTCAAGTCCCTCTCTCATGCCCACATGACATGACCACATGTGACGTGCCCTCACTCTTATCCAGAATAAGCCTGCTTTTTTGTTTTCTTGGGTTCAAATACGCCAATCAAAAGTATTGATTAGCTATTTTACTAGGATGAATGTTCCACTGCTTAATTTTCGCAGGATTTTGTCTGAATACGGCAATTTTATGTATTCATAAATTAATAGAGATTCATTTTTAGTTGTATATTGTTGTAATCTTTAAATTATCTTGCACGTTCACTGAATATTAGTCAGTTAAATTGTTCAATAATCTTAGATTATGCTTGCCAGATAAATGTTTAAATTAAATTTCAATGCCTTAAACAATGAAACCACGAAAACGTGGTAAAATATCGTGCATGCATATCTTGATGTTCATGACGGAGACGTTTCCTATGCCGTGTCAAAATCTAAACCACAAATCCAAATTCACCAACAACAAAACAAAAGCAAAGTAACACCTGGAGTTCAGCAACAAAGTGGAAATAAGACATATAGAAACATCTTTTTACTATAATTTCTTTATTATTTTATATGGTTACAAAAGTTTCGGTGAATTGTGCTCCAGAGTAATGTTTCTAGACCTGAATGGAATATAAAATCAAAAAAATTAGTGGTTTATGATTTGTATGATTCAACTCAATTAAATTAATAGTTAAAATCGGTGATATAATAATTAAATAATTAAAAAATTAGTTATTTTTAAAAAAATTGATAAAAATAAAAAAGTTTTTTTAATAGTCTGATTTTTAAAAATTGGATCTGGTTTTTGATTCGACTACCAGTTCGAAATGACTTAACCCAACTCAACTCCTAAAATAATTTTCTCATATGAATCAAATTAAAATTCAGATCGATCGATGGTCCGACTGATTTTAAAAATACTGCTCCATAGACTCACCAAAAACCCAAACAAGCTTCTAGATTTAAAGAATATTTATAAAAATATTTATAAATTATTTATTAATAAAATTTAAACTTATGACTTTAGAAACTATGAACTAAATTTTTATCAACTGAAACTATCCTTCGTTGGTTTTTTTTTTTTTTTCCCAACTGTGTTCTCACTTTATGACGCTTTTATTCCTTCTTGGTCCGTTGGCTTCGCGGGATCACATCTCATCGTGCTAGGAACCAAATATTGCAAATAAAGCGTCATAGGGGGCTGAACTGTAGCGGACCTATGTTTACATGAGAGCGGGCAAACTGTCCCTACTTACTCGAAAAAAATTGCATGGTAGACTGGCATTGTAGGAAAATTTTATACTTTACCCCCACAAAATTTAGAATTTCGAACCAACTGCAATATCACTCTTCCTCATTCAAAAAATAATAATATTCCAATGTAATACTAAAATTTAAATATATTTCTACATTTTGAATAGAGCAGGGCAAACATAATTAATTAATAAATATTTAAGGTTAAATATATTATATTTAAATAATAAATTTCCAAAAAACTTTGTTTTTTTTAAATGTTCTATTAACCAAAGGTGAGGATCCGCCACTGGGCTGGACCATGCATTACAGATTTACAGTCCCATTATCATTGGGCTGTGTGCACACGCAACTGGCATGCAATAATGATGTCTTCTTTTCCTCATTATCAAGGGTGTCTATGCGCGCGTTTGGATAAGAGTAATAATTAATTTTTTAACTCAAAAAAAAAATTAATTTTTTAAGTCAAGTTATCCGAACAGTTAAAAAAATCAAAAACTAATTATTGACTTAAACACACATTTTTCCATATGCTCTCTTCATCAGCTTTCTGCAAAAAATTAATCAAAAGTGTTAAAAAATTATAAAAAAAACACAATATTAAATAAAAATAAAACAAAACTCTCTTCTCTTCTCTTTTCTTTTTTTCTTAATATAATTTAAATTTTAAATTTTTAAAAAAATTGCTAACATAAATTTTTCTTGACTATCATCCTCCATTTAGCACTTATTATAAAATTAATTTAAAGTAAAATAAAATATTAATTGTTAGAGAAAAATTAATTTAATTTAATTTAAAATTTAAGATTATTATTATTAGAAAGAGATTTTGCATCATTTATTACATTGCTATATTTTTTATGTTGTTAAAATTTTAAGGTAATGCTTAACACCTTCATTAGATATAATTCATATTCATGATATCATTAAAGATCAATTTATATATTATCATTTTCATTAATTATTGTAAAATTAATGTTTGATATTTAAGAATTAAATATTTTTCTTTTATTAAATTTATTTCAACTAAGATAGATTGAGATACTTATTTATGTAAATTTAAATGTTAATATTAATATAATTTAAATTTTTAATTAATTAGATATGTAATTTAAATAATATATTTTACTTCTTAAATAAAATATAACAACTTTAATAATATTAGATATAAATTTATCAATAATTTAATTTTAAAAGGCAATGTCTTTTATAGTAATTTATAAAGATAAAATTAATTTTGAATAAATTATCCTAACATCTTTTGTTTTGTTAAAATTAATTTTAAAAAAATTATATCTAAACAGATTATATTATAACACAATCAATTATGACTAAAATCTGTCATTTAATTAATTATTTTTATAATTTATTATATCCGACTAAAATTTAAACCGGCACTATGTTTTGGCCTACTACTTTAGGCCCTACTATATATATATATGTGTGCGCGCGCGCGTGTGTATGTATTTGCTGTTTTCAATTTTCACCTATCTAAAAACTTTTTTTTTAATATTTTTGGTATTTATAATTTAAATAAGATCGTGTAATGTTTGTTTCTCAATTCCTAACTATGTTAAATTATGAGGATTACGATAAGGAGATATTTTATGCATACCTATAAGAAAAAAATAAAAAAAAAGAGACAAAATAACATTAAAAAAAAAGCTTTAAAAAGCCTGTACCAATGATTTTGCGTGGTCCCAATTCATCCACCTGTGGATGAAAATACACACGCGCGTTTCATTTAAATAATTGCTCATCTGCCAGTGAATGAAAAAACACACGTTTAAAATCTTATCTTATCTTATTGTATAGGAAAGTGCATTATTTTACTGTTCATTTATAGTTGGATGGTTAGTGAAATATGTTTTATTTAATTTTTTAAAATATTTACATAGAAAAAATGACATGTGAGGCCCATTATAAAAAATGGATATAAATATCCATAATAAAAAAACGATGACAAATATGAGATCCATAAAAATATATGTACAGTATGATCCCATCATTCGTTGTTTTAAAATAATAATAATGATAATGAAGATGAGACTTATATTTTGTTACTTGTATTTTGTATGTGTGTCTATGTGTATATGAGATAATAAATTATATAAAATTAATAATAAACTATGAAATAGTATCTGACTTCTTATAGTATAGGTCTCACTTTTCCTAGGTGATGCATGGGCAAAAACATTTTAAAAGAGAATAAGATAATTTGCAGAAAGAAAAACATTTAAAAATGATAATATTTTTTATTTTTTAATATACATAAAGTGACACATTGCAAAAAAATAAGTTGATAATTAAATTTTGATTTATATAGGAAAAATCGATGGATTCCGGAATATTTATTGTCGGCAAGTTTTTTAATTAATTATGAAGGATAGAACTTAATAAAAAAATTATTTTTATATAGTAAAGTTTATCAGTACACCTCACACACGCACACGCAAATCTTATCATCATCATTCTATGTTGTTAAACACTAATTCACTGTAGATCTGAAGTGGGTTAAACAGTAAATTACTTTTTTTTTTTAAATTTTTTTATACTTTTAGAGATTATTTTGCGGGCCTCACAATGTGGTTGGGAGCGAAAAAATAACAGCAAATGTTACACTTATAATAAAAATAATAGGTGTGAGATACTATCATTTGATATTTATATATTTTATATGTACAAGATAATAATATAAAAAGTGTTCGTCTCACCATAAATCTATAGTAAGATTAACAGTAATTTTTTTAAATTTTTTTTAAACTTTAAAATATCATGCAGCAGTTGCAATAAAAATAGGTGTAAGACTAGTAATGTAAAATTGACATGAATATAAGAGTTATAGTAGAAATGATAGGTGTTGGACCCATAATTTGTAGCTTATATTTTTTATATGAATAAAATAATAAATTGTAGAATAAAATACATAGTTAAACAAAAATGATAAGTTTGTTTTAATTTTAATTTTAATTTATATGAGAATGCATGAAATAAAAATTTTTAAATAAAATATTTTGTTGCTTTTTTTTCATATGTGTAAGATAATAAATTATAAAATATAATGTTTTATGTTTAAATTTAAATTTATTTCAAATGATAATGCTTTATTGTTTCATTGCCTTCAAGGATACTGGCTCCTATAGAACTGTCATGAAACCCCATATTCTCCCTCAAATAGAATGTGTCCCTCACAATGAATATTTTAAAGTCCCAACTCAATCTGAACTTTATCATTTTTAATCACACAATCAATAATACAATCACAAGTCAACATTGGAGTAATATCTCTTTA